GGGTGCGGTTCCTGCGGTGTAATCGAGGATGTATTGAGATTGTGCCCTGACAGTGATCCGGACCCAGCCTCGTAGGGTAGAACAATCTTGGTGGGTATTGTCCCGGGCAACGGTATGTTGATTAACGGATAGCTGCGCGAGAGATATGAAAGTCTAAATTGATAAAAGTATTCAGCGAATTCGTTTATTTGTCTATTTTAGGACTAGCGCGTGTGTTTTTCGAGCGGTTAGACACGTAAGCGTGGCTTACGCTTTCTATTTTTGGAAAGAGATATAAAAAGGTCCAGTTTAATTGATTTTTCCAATGAACGTATTTAAAAAATAAGATTCTATAGTATAGACTTCCCCGACTATCAGATACCCGTTACTCAGCTAGAAGAAGTGCCAATGAGAAATTTCAACATTTTCTGGAATATCGGAAGAAATTGGTAGAAAATAAAATGAAAAAAAAGTAAACATTTTAGCTCAATGAAGCTGGGTTCGGTAAAATGAAGTTTTTGAAATTTGAAAGGTGGAATCGTTTGCCCATGTTTGCCGACCAATTATTTTTTTTGGCCAAGTCCAGTTTTGAAGATATGAAATTTCGAAAATCAAAAAGTTGACTCTTATGAATTTTTTTTTTTTAAATCGCAATAACTTCGTTTGACTACCCCTTAAGAATTTTGAAAAAAAACTTTTAGTTTAGAAAATATAAGCCCTTAAGGAAATATATTTTTATTCTATTTTTATTTTATATTATACATTTTACTCCATTCCGAACCCAGCTTCTTTGAGCTAAACATTTTTTAAATGTGTGGACGTGAGAGTTTTGTGCGGTTTGTGGGTGTTAGAGTGAGCGTGGCAAAAAGTTTTTTGGCAAATCTATAAAAAAGTGAAAAACGTCACAACATTTTTCAAACGTGTGGGCCTGGCAGTTTTGGGCGGTTTGTTGACGTGGAAACATTTGGTTGGCGTGGCGCTGCGCCTATGTCTCTGGAAGCTGCATGCATCTTAACATTCTAGCTTTTGTAGTTCCTGAGATCGAGGCGTTCATACGGACAGACGGAAATAGTCAGATCGACTCGGCTATTAATCCTGATAAAGAATATACATACGTATGTACATATTTTCCTTAAATATCCGAAAACGCTTCCTTCTACCTGTTACATACTTTTAACGAATCCAGTATACCCTATTACTTTACGATAACGGGTATAACAAGAGAGAATACAATGGTCGAGATTCCCGACTATCAAATACCCCTTACTCAGCTAGTGGAAGTGCGAACGAGAAATTTCAACTTTTTCTGGAATATCGGTAGAAAATGGGAGAAAAAAATAAAACGAACAAAAAATTTAAGTGTGGGCGTTTCAGTTTTGGGCGGCTTGTGAGCGTTAAAATGGGCGTGGCAAAAAGATTTTTTAGAAAATCAAGAACAAATTACAAGACCAATAAAAAAAAATAAAAAATATCACCGTTGAGTGGGCGTGGCGACATTTGGAAACAACCTTGCGCTGTTGGTAACTGTTTTGTAATCTGCATGCCTGATCTCAATCTATCTACATACGTAGCTCTTATAGTTCCTGAGATCCGGGCGTTGATACGGACAGACGGACATGGCCCGATCGACTCGGCTAGTGATACATACTTACTTTTCAACGAACCTAGTATACCCTTTTACTATACGAGTAACGGATATTTTAGTATATTCATTTGTATTATTTTTACAACTTAAAAAATAAACAAAGTATATAATTCTATTATTTTGATATGTTGGCCTACAGTTCTTTATTAAATGCTTGAACTGAAATGCATATTCACAAGGCAATCAGTTCCTTTCTAGTATCTGCAAAAGCGTGCCTAACGAAAATTCAAATCTGATTGATAAGCCGCATTTCATATGTATTTAAAGCAAGCCATGAGCAACCAAAATAAAGTATTTTATTCAACTATTATTCTTCGTACTATCAGCAATTCTCATTTAAAGTATTCAAGGTCAGCGGGCCGTTTGCTTGGCTCAAGACAACAGCCTGCCCTCAGCGACTAGCCGGTAAACGGCGCTGAGCACGACGTTCTCCAGTGATAAGCGCGCCTATAGGCGGAAAACGCGGTGCGTTCACCATAGCATACATATAACGCATTCTATAAGGCAAACTCCGGTTCTTTCAATCCCGCTTAAAGCTGCCAAATGGTTTGCATTTATCATGTAAATCAAGAAAATACATTTATTTGATTACAATAAGTTATTAATAATACCTATTATAATTTATAATAATAATAATTTATAATAAATATAATTTATAATAATAATTGCAATATTTAAATCGAACAAAAACAGCTCTTAACGAGGTAAAAAGCAAGAGAGGACGCTAAGCGGAGTTCCTCTAATTTTAATTTTTTATTGTAGTTGAATATTTGTTTGGCATATTGATAGAAATTGTTTTAAATTGTTTTTTTTTCGGTTTGTGGGCGTAGACAAAATGTTCTGTTTTTGGCTTATCGATAAAGATTGGCAAGAAAACCACTAACAAGATAGAATGCTATATTCGAGTTCCCCGACAATCAGATACCCGTTACTCAGCTAGTGAAAGTGCGAACGAGAAGTTTGTGTTTTTTTGAATATCGATAGAAATTTTACGAAATTACGAAAAAAAAAAATTAAATTATGAAAAAAATTTTAAAATTTGTTCAAAAGTATAAATACATTAAACATTATTCTAATGTCTTTGGCGTGCCAGTTTTGAGTGAGCGTGTCAAAACGATTATGCGGCAAATCGATGGAAATTTACAAGACTAATAAAACAATGAAAAAAAAATCAAAACAATTTTAAAAAGTGTGGTAGTTGCAGTTTTGGGCGTTAAATTGGGCGTGGCAACACTTGGAAAAAAACTTGCGCTGCGTCTATGTCTATAAAAACCGGCATGCTTAACATGCTCAACATTCTAGCTTTTATAGTTCCTGAGATCGAGGCGTTCACACGGACGGACAGACGGACAGGCGGACATGGTCAAATCGACTCGGTTATTGATCCTGATCAAGAATATACATATTTTATATGGTCGGAAACACTTATTTTTGCCTGTTACATACTTTTCAACGAATCTAGTATACCCTTTTACTATACGAGTAACGGGTATAACCACTTTTGGGAAGAAATGCTTATATATTATATTATATGTACCTTACACATAAGAGGCACAAGCCCCTCAGAAAAAGCGAACCGCGCATGAACAACGCCGTTTTCGGCAGGGTAACTAGTGAATACACATACATAAATGTGCTGAAAATTTTTTCTCTTCTGCACTGGAAAATCATAGTGAATGAAGAAGCTAACAAGTATTTAATTACAATACGTTTGTATCAGTAATATGTGATAAAGCAATTAAAACAATGTGTCTGAAAAAAGAAATTTGCCTCTGCTATGTTATGACATTACAAAAAGTACACCTAATGGGATATTTCTAACATTGTAGATTTTTAGACCATCCAAAATAATTCACATTCTGGTTGACGAATCACGGGAAAGCGTATGAAATTATTGCTTACTCAATAAACGAGCAAATAAGTAAATAAATACGCAAGTTTTTGTAATATGCATTATCAACGCAATGAGCAACACCTGTACATATACAATAAGAATTGATCTTCCTAGAAAAAAAAACAAGAGAGAACGCTATAGTCGATTATGTCGACTATCAGATACCCGTTACTCAGCTAGTGCGAGTGGGAAATTTAAAAATATGTTTTGGCCATGGAAACAATATAAAAAACATATGTACATAGGCGTGGCGAAAATTATAGAAATTCGCAAGACAAATATACTATAGCTTAGATTTCGGAAAGCTGATTTTGAAGTGTTTAGCTACAATGCTAGGTTTTCTTAGCTTTGTGCAGAAGCTCGCGAAATTATTTGTGATCAAAATGTTGTTAATGTAAATATAAATCTTTACAAAAAGAAGTATCGTAAATTTGTGGAGTAAAAAGGGCCATTGTCACATTGATCCCACTAAGTTATGCGGTCCCTTTGCTTGACCCGCAGCAAACTAAGATCTGTATTGTATTTAGTTTCCCCGCCAACATAGTTTACTGATTTAAGTCAATGTCAAGACCAATAACCGTTCCAAACAATGTTCCCTGTATTTATGTACGTATGTACACATAAGGTATAATACATAAGGTGCTGTGTCTGCACATTTTGGGCACTGACCACGAAAGCAGAATCGCCATGAAGGCGATACTGGAGGCACACGTCGGGTAGCTGGACAAGAAGAGGCCGTGCTTGTAGTAGAAGTGCGAGACGGAGGCGGGCAGTCCGGTGGAGGAGGCTGCCGCAGCGCCCGCTGCTCCCGCGGATGAAGAGGCGGGACCGGGAGACTTGCCGGCCAGGCCGCTGCTGTTGGAGGCTGCTGTGCGCGGCGATGTCGACGACGCTGCCGAGGCCGCCCTGGCAGAAACATCTGTTGCGGCGGCCATGTTGTTGTTGGCACAGAACTTACACTTACACCGAGGTGAACGCACACAGGCGCACGGCGACGACTCGCACACACACACACTAGAGAGGAGAATCTGACCACGAACTTTGTTCTAACGCTTTAGCGGCAAAGTACGAGTTCGGTACTCGCGGTTTTCGCGCGGCTTCGGATTTGCACACTCGACTGCGGCAATTACGCAACCTGACTTTTGCAACGCATCATCTGCGTAGGCGACGCAGGGTCCGCCTCGATATCGCGATACTATTATTGTTTATTAATAGCGCCGACTCGCTTGCTCCTGCTGGCTGTGGACTTAACTTGGATCTGGGCTTGGGCATGGGCCGTATATCGATTCATGTTCACCGGCGATTTGCATTCTATTTCTATTGATTTTTCTTTTTCTTGCGCTTCATTCGCACCTTTTGGCCCCACGTTATTTACGCCGTGCGATTGTTGTTGCTGCTGCAATTAATTGACGTTTTTGCGCATCTCCGGCGCTCTTTCACACACACTCGCGCACGGCACAAGCATACGGGTTATTCTTATAAGAATCTGCTACGTAAACGTCGCTCCCACCGGGTTTTTAACTTAATTGAAATTAAGGCAGCGCCGCGGCTAGGCTTATTGTTATCAAATTAAGAAGGTATATTTCACTTTTCTGGGCGGATGTGCCGTACCCAACCGCCGGGCAAAACAAAGTTGAAGGAGGTGTTGCCGATGGCTCAGCCGCAGCACAGGTACAAGGTATAGGCGATCAGACGAATTCGGCAATCCGTTTATTGTGCAGCTTTTCGTTAAGCACGTTTTTCTACACCAAACAGCGGAATTGGATGCGCCGCGCGTCACCACTCACGTTAGAACAAAATGCTAGCTCCCCGTGAGTCAGCGGGGGCGAACTAGTTCGCTGGCGAACCAAAACATTGAACAGCTGAGTCAGCGGCGGGCAGTTCGCACAAGAAGAGCACCTGTTCGGCGTGGGACAGGAGACTGCCCCAATTCCCACGAAAGGACAACCAAACCAAACCTACCGCTTCGACTATTTATTATTTATTATAGATTCGGCAACAGCTGGGGGTAAACGGGTCACAGTTCACTTTGACAGTGCTGCCAGACCGAGCACATACCTTTGGAGTTTCCCGTTCCTTGGCGCTCGATTTGATTTTTGAATTTATCTGTTGCTCGCTATCGGCTTACAATTTAAGACACGTTCTCTATTATTAATCTTTGAAGTGCTGTAACTTTTGATTTACCTTCAAAGTAAGAATTAACTTCGATAACTCTTTAGTTATTTGTATTGTTTTGAAGTATAACCTCAATGAGCATGAAAATTAGCCTTATTTGTTTTTATCTACACTTCTTTGTTAAATACATTCAGCTCCCTCGGATCTCACAAAAATCCTTTGTATTTTAGTATAAACGGGCTATACGGCTATCTGCAAAACTTGGATCGTAGCCTCAGTGGCTCGAGAATTGACTGGCATAATAGACGTAGTAAGTACTAGTCGATTTTAGTTGTAGGCATGGTATACTCCGCTGTAAGGGTCGCCATTTCGCCCGTGTCATGCGGATGTCCTTCGTCCACCGCTTCCTGGTTGCTAAATCGGTGCCGCAAGATCGTCTCCTCCTGTATAGCATAGTCAGCCGGAGTTATTTGGTGATACTGGGCAGCATCGCTCCTCGTCTCCGGCATACTTCCCGATCCGTTCAGGCCGCTCTTGCTCCAACTCCGGCCACCGAACAGCACCACAGTGCCCTTACTTAGCAGCGGGCAAAGCAGTGCTTGGTGGCAGCACGCAAATATCCGGTAATTCGGGCCCTGGAATGGATCTGACATGGCCGCACAGAGCATGTGGTCCAGATTGATACCAGTAAACTGCAACGAAGGAGAGGTATTAGTGAGGAAGACGCTACATGTGTTATATATTGTAATTAATGAGTTTCGCCATGCAAGGAAATGCCATAGTTTAAAAATTACGTTTTTGGACAATTTTTGAAAAAATTTACAGACATTTAATTGGCATTTGCCATTTGACTTTTGAAAACTCTGACCAAGTAATGCTACAATTTTTTTCCCGGCAGTTAAAATACGTTTGCTAAAAGTATGCAGTGCGAAATAGAACCTTTTCATGGTACTTTGCGGTTCGAAATATATTGTTCCATACGTTTAGGCGATATATGCAAAGTGTTTTGGTCAAAGCCCACTTACAATTGAGAGCGGGGAGAGCAGGACGAAGTGATAAAACAGCATGAAGGCGGTACCTATGTGAGACCAGTGCAATTCGCTGAGGTCCTCGATAGTGTACGCTCCTGAAAGAGAAACAAGGGTACTCTTCTGAACAACCAGGTGGCGACTTATATTTACCGCTTCGAATAATGTAAATCGGTATTATGTACAGCAGTGCATGCTGGATCCAATAGGTGGCCTGCTCGAAGGGATATGTGCGGCCCTCCACCTCTGGGAAAAGAAACGCCAGAAAAGGGCCGTTGAGATTGCTCATCTGTATACGAAAGAGCGCTGTTGTCGTCTTCGTCGGCTTGGCGGCCAGAAGATATATCTGCAAGTATGCGTTTGTTTTTAATTGTTCTACGACAAGCCACATCACAAATTGATTACCTGCAGACAGGACTGCACATGACATGGATTCAAGGCGAAAATCATTGACTGCCCGGAGAGTTTGAAGCCCATCTCAATGCCAAAAATCATTGACAGGGCTATTAGAAGAAACAGTCTCGTGGGACTGTGTGGCTTCTGTATCTCGTGGGGCGGCGGAAGCTTAATCGGCGCTAGGCGTTGCCAAGAGCGGTGCATTATAAATATAAAGAGGGCGGACAGCAGCACCGTCTCTACCCACCGACGGCGATCTGTCATGTAATTGATGCACTCTGGACCCGTCGTCCTCGGAATCTCATCGGATATACCTGCGACTGCCCAGTCCCAACCCATTTTATGGCTGGGATGTGCTGCGGGTACGGTAGTACGATAACCACGTCTGAAAAAAAAAACCATAGTATTTTGAGCCGTGCAATGTTTGGAAACAAGTAACGTATTAATCTAGGGCGACCCCTATTCTGAGGTTTTCATTAAAAATTTTTTAGATGTCGTGTATCTCTTACAAATAAATTGCTCTTCATTCGGAGAAGAATTCGCACAAGTAGTTATATTGCATTACAAACTTATTTAGATGGGATGCTGTGCTTTTAAAAATGTAATTAAATCATCTCTTTTGAAATAAATATACAATTTAAATTTTTGTTAGTATACCGATAAGAATTGGGAAAACAAATTACAATTACAATTGCATTCTTAGGACACAACTTTTCAGCTCCCCACCTCCTCCACGTATACACGGACAGGCGATATCGGACTATCGCCTCGCATAGTGATCCATACTAAGAATATAACACAACTTTATGCGGTCGATCAAATCGGTGCTACTAGGATTTGGTTATCTATATGTTTTCCAATACAAACAAGAAAGAGCGCTATGTTAGAGATCCTCGAATATCAAATAATCGTTACTCATTTAGTGGGAGTGCCTATAACAAACCTCAACATTTTTTGACATATATGTATATAATGGCCAGAAAAATAGTACAATTTGTTTGGTATATCAAGAAAAGTTGTCAAAAAAAAAAATAATAAACTAAAGAAAAGAAATCCCAACATTTTCTGCGGCTTGTGATATTTAAAGGGGTCATGGCAATCTTCTTAACTTTTTACTACAAAGTTTCTAGCTTTTATATTCTAAAAGATTTCGACGTTTATACGGACAGACAGGCTAGTGATCAAGGATATACTATATGTATGTACGTTGTATGCCGGAATAGATTTGTTCTACCTGTTACATAGTTTTCAACCCTTTTAGTCTGCGAGTTTTGAGCTACTGGATTTGGTTGGTGGTGAGTGGTCTTCGAACTAGACTCTACTCCAAGTCCAATACCAGGGATGTTTTCAAAACATTGGTTACCAGGAGATTGTCGCATTGCAGAGTGTGCAATATCAGGAGCTAAATTTACAAACAAACCACATTTACACGGCCTGCCGGCATAGATCTCAAAAAATATAAAATCATGTCAGCGTTGACATTTGTCGCAGCTGTCCATTGGCCACTTGCCAAGGCCGAAACCAGAAGGCGAAAAGCCGAAGGCCAATGTGCGGGCCTATTGCAATGTAAGCCACCGATGTATTTTAAGTGCACTTTTGTTCGTGTTTCCGCAAGGTGGCTATGAATAATGCCAGACCAGGCCACAAATTTAACCAATCGGTTCAGCTACAGGCCAATAAACAAAAACCTAGCTGAGGACGGACCTAGCCGCAGTTATAGTTATTTTCAGTGTCCCAAACACGAAAGCTCTTAGGGGAAAAACAGCCTTAAGTACGGGAGTTACTAAAACCATTTATAGTCATTCGGATCCATATGGTGACCTATACAAAAATTATTCAATTATTGAATATTCAACATATTCATGTTCAAAATATGTTGATGCCGAATTTGGAAAACCATTACAATCTTTTCGGCAGTTCTACATACATTTGCAGTTACTAAGCTTCGGCGTAAAATCAAAAGAAAAAAGCCCGTTCGCCGACACGATTTTCGATTTTTCCATCCGTTACCTATAAGTCTTACGCCTGAAACTGCCACGTGTTCTGGTCAGAAGCTCGTTGAGATACCCTTGGAATCACCGATGGACTTATTACGCTATTAAGCAAATCCCGCGGATACCGCACATTCCTTGTTCCTTTTTATTTATTTTTAATTACATTGCGGCTGCATATCTGCATTAGGCATGCAATTCGCTGGGCGAAAAGAGAAAAGTGGCGAAAGAACGCGACGTTTATACTGAGTGACTGTCTGCAAGCGACTGGGACTTAGCGCGGTGCCTCACATTGTCCTTGGTCGAGCTTTCACTTTCTTCCTCTCAGCGCACGCGCTTTCAAGCTCGTCCTCTCTCGGTGTTTTGCTCTCTGTTAAATTGGGCGCCAAAAATTATTGTACCGGCTGCATTGGGTCGAGGGAGGTAATGTATGATTCCATACGCCAAGCACTTGCACATATCTACATATGTATATACAAATGTGTACATCTGCGGATGTGGATTTCCATTGCAACTGCCCGTCGTCAATCGCAAATTGGATTAGCAGTGGGCGACGGTTAAGGGGGCGACTGACCCAGAAAAGATTATATTGCGGTGCCGGCAAGAAGTATACTTGTAATACTTACATATTTGTATGTATTTGTGAGAGAAACACCCGCCTATCTGATTATCTTTTGTTTTGTTTCAATACGTAATGTTTTTTTAAAATTACCTCTCTATAATTTACCCTTTATATTCGAATGATATTAAGGGTACAAGAGGGCAAACCCAACTGCAATTAACAGTAATTGGTGCAGGCATTCAGCGGGAAGACAAACCTCAATAAACAATAATAAACTGGCTGTATCAGTGATTCAAAACGATTTATAAAAGTGCACCTGAGTTTTCAAGCCTTTTTTTTTTTTAATTTTACTATCAGAACGAAACGATCTCCCTTTTGAGAAGAACCGCTCTCTGTATCGAGAAGAACCGAAGAACCGACTGATCTCGGTGTCGGGAAAAACCGATCTTGATTCCAATTGCCAATACAAAATAAAAATAAATTATTTAAAAATGAATTTTATTTTTTTATTTATTTATTTATATATATTACATATTTATTGTTATTTGCAAAGGAAGAAATCACATAACATAATAAATGATAAATTAAACAATTTAAAATTCCTTGTTAGGGAAATACCGGAATAAAAATGTTCATGCTTAATTGGAGGTTTGTTAAATAAAATTAAAGAAAAGGTGGATAATTGACAAAATTATTATTAATATATATAGTTGTATGTGTGTGATACTTACTTTCAGGTTATTACTAGCACTAATTTAAAAAGGCCTTTTATTTTATTATTTGTATCGCTTATCTTTTGTACAGACAAAGCATATCCTCAACATTGTTACGGACAAACGGACGGACAGAGCGACTCGGCTAGTCCGTAATTCTGTGGGATTAGACTCGGAAACGCGTTCTTTTACCGTTTACATAATTTTTAACGGATCCAGTACCTATTGTATGTTCAAGTAAAAACATAGTACATTTTGAAACTATTCCGAAACCCCGAAGCTCAATATTTTTTAATCAAACGGTTCAGCACACATTACTTTGCCATAATCACTTGGACAATATTAAACACATTGTACACTACAAAATGCACTACCACAGACATTAACAGACACTACGCACCCCATTGGGTCGTCATGCAATGCATTGATCCCTATATTTTGTATGAACATAATTATTCCACAAGTAAACATGGGGCTTGGTTGATAAGATCTGAATAAAGAGCGAATACATTTTACAATCATATATTTTTCAAACCATTTGATCATTGCCAATACGCTGCTTAGTTTTTGGTTGTATCAATTAATGGTTTATTTTTAACCTTTGGAACACATTCGATCCCTAAAATGGCGCACACGTCCTCGCCGATCCCGATCCCGATCCCTACCTGCTTTTTAATAACTTTTGGGGATTTTACAGCTTGAAAAGTCTTCCGATGTTGCAGGTTTTTACAATTATTTTGTAAGTTACGATTTAATGTAATTTTTTACAAAAACAGTTTATTTTGGATGAAAATTTCTCCAAAAATGCAGTTTTTCTTGTAGATTCTTGGTTGGACAAAATGACTAAAATAAATAGTAAATATAGATTAAAAAAAAAACTGTTGTATACCGAATAGAATTACATTTTTAGTTTAATTGATTATTCAATTTACTAGAGCCATTATACGTACATATGTACATTATACGAATAATTGCGAAAAAATAACGACGCTGATCAATTATAATTTACAATATAATGTACATAAACATTTGCAGGAGACTAGCGAAGTTAAAAAAAAAACACTACATACATACATGTGTATAGGAATATACTGGCCGCTTGCTTAAAAATGTCTTTTGTGGCTTCTTCTCCCTGATCTCAAATGGACACACTAATTTGAAATTTTCATTTCTCGCTTATATCAAAATCAAAGAATCGAAATTTACAAATATAAGCACCTTCAGATAACAGGAAATTTCATATGGCGATGTTATACTTTTAGGTAAGTCGCACACAGTCTGACGAGGGCTGATTAACAAAACAATAATTAATTATAATACTATGTAGAATACTCGAAACTGCTAAGCGGAATTTGATCAAATATTTACAAAATAAACGAACGGCCGTTAGTGGCTAATTAAAGCGCTCTATCGGAATGATGGAAAATGTTTGCGCTTCTATGTACATACATACATATGTACATGAAAGTGCAATCTCCTCGAAAGTTGCTGATCACAATTTAATCTAAAGTATTCTATGAATAGTTAGTTACAAAATTGTTTAAGTACAGTGAATTCTGCAACATGATCTTCAAGTGGGGAGTCTATTTTTCAATTCCCATTTCATATATGTACTTTCATCCATCCCGTAAATTACGACCCAGAATAATAAATAAATAAATCAATAATTAGGCCCTAGGATACAAAAATTGTACCATCCCTTAATTACCGCGAATTCATCAATGTCATCAAAGGCTTTATCTTTTAAATCCTGCTAGGCTAATTTACAAACAGTTGAGGAAAAAGATAATTTGAACTAAAACGCAGACATTTTTGAGTCTTCTCGTCGGTTGAAATTATTTGTAGCAAATTCATTCATTCAGCTAGATTTCAATCTTTTGCTTTAAAGAATTACACACCTTTAACGAGAATTTACGTCGGATAATTTACGAATTTACAAGAACAATAGTGTGATTGACTAAGATGGCCTTGGAAGAGTACAAGAATACAAAAAGAATTGCGCAGGCAATCGTACTTACGTTACGGATCCTTACGTTCTTACATCTTACGCCCTTCGAAGTGTGACCAGTCCCCGTTATTAATAGGTATTTCGCTGGCATCCGCTTGCAGCCACATTTGACTAAACACTAAATATAAATAATAGTTTGTGACTCAGAATTTAGGCTGCAGGATCTACGCAAAGCCTTATTTTCTCCTCATGTAAGCTGTAATGTTGATGTAAACCTCGGAGAAATATTTTGTAGCCGTAACCGAACGCATTCTGGGCGCAGCTGCGAATCAACAGACCACAAAGGCTTGAACGAGTGTGTAACACCCGTGTATACTTGTGTGGGCGCCGAAGAAACCACAAAAACAACAGCCACAACGATGGTGGGAATTATCGATGATGTGCAGCTTTTTTATCCCCTTGGAACACGCATCAAAATAGGAGACAACTATGGCACAGTGCGTTATGTAGGAGAGGTGAGCCGTTGTTTGGGTTTCCGCAAGCATAAGGCTTTATCCCAAGTTCCGATCTCTATTTCAGGTGACCGGCCATATGGGTACCTGGCTGGGCATCGAATGGGACGACGGACTGCGGGGCAAGCACAACGGCATCGTGGACGGCAAGCGCTACTTCCAGACGCAGACCCCCACGGGAGGCAGCTTTATACGACCGGGAAAGGTAGGGCCATGTGCCACCCTGGAGGACGCTGCCCGGGAACGGTACCTAAACTACGACTCGAGCAACGTCGATGAGTCTCTTATCCGGGAAGCTCAGCTCACCCTGCAGGCTTCGCTCTTTGAAGTCGTGGGTATGGATAAGATTGCACGCAAGCAGAGCAAGTTCGAGCAGCTGGCGGAGGTGAGTGTAGACCAGACCCCGGTAAACGCTGCGGGGTACCTGAAGGAGTTGACCCACCTTACCACGTTGAACGTAAGCCATACCTTAATCTGGAATTGGGAGATTGTGGCCAGCATTGCTCAACAACTGCCCTCTCTGACCAACCTGAACCTGAGGTAAGTGAAAAGTAATGCCCTGATGTGTGCGCCCTTAATTGCCCAACCTTTTAGCTCCAACCGATTGGTCCTGCCCACGTCATCCCAAATCACGGAGCTTGAGCCCTCATTCCGGCAGCTTAAACGCATCAACCTTCGCAGCTGTGGCTTTTCGGACTGGATGGACGTAATGCACACAGCGCTTCTATGGCCAAATATTTTGTCACTGGGCTTACAAGAGAATTCATTCGGCCAACTAGCAGAAGTCGATCGTAAAAAAATATTTAAGCAACTACATGAACTCGACTTACACCGCACAAACATTATGGATTTTGACCAAGTGGCAAAGTTGGGCAATCTCACGACTTTGCGCTTATTGAATATCATGGAGAATGGTATCGAGGAGATAAAACTTCCCGACTGTGATTCACAAGAAAAGCTAAATATGTTTGTTTCGTTGGAGCAGCTGAACCTTCTTCACAATCCCATTTGGAATGAGGTAGGGAAGCGTAATTTTTCGGTACTATAAATTTTACTTAAGTAATGTAATATGCGCAGGCCGATGCGTTTAACGAGCTGGACAAGCTACCGCAGCTGAAACGCCTGAGTAAGACTCCGCACTTAAAGTCAAACTTTGATGAAATGTTCTCCAAGGCTGTAGCTAACATAGCCAGCCTGCAGTTCATTAACAAAACCGAGGTGACAGCGGAGCAAAGGCGTGGTGCCGAGTACGATATTTGGAAAAAGTACGCTCTAGAGTGGATGCAGGCGACGCAAGAAGGGCCGGATTCCTTACGGGAGTTTTGCCGAAGACATCGTACCTACCCAATGCTCCTTGAAAGTAAGCAACTTTCTCACTACGGTATTCGAAAATTATGTTATGTCTTTTTACAGAGTATGGTTCCCCAGCAGACTTTGTACCACGTAGTCAAGCAAAACAGTCGAACTTGATTAATGTTTCCATAAGGCATCAGCTGACGGGTGAGACTTGGCAGAAAAAAGTTCCGCGAATGATTACTGTGCAGACTCTGCAGGGACTGGTTATGA